TTCAGAATACTGATCATAAGGATGCTCAACAGCATGAGAAAGGAAATGAAAACTATGAAGAAAATTAAGAATGACATAGTAGAAATAAAAAAACACTGGAAGGAATAAAGAGCAGATTAGGGTAAGCTTGGGAGCAGGTCAGCGAATTAGAAGACAGGGTAGAAAAAATAACTCAATCAGAGAATGAAAAAGAAAAAAAAATTTAGAAACAGGAGGAAAGTTTAAGGGAGCTGTGGGACAACATGAAACATAACAATATTTGCATCATAGGAGTGCCACAAGAGGTAGAAAGTAAGCAAGGGTTAGAGAACCTGTTTGAAGAAATAATGGCAGAAAACATCCCTAACCTAGTGAAGGAAAAGGTGACACAAGTTCAGAAGGTACAGAGAATCCCAAACAAGAAGAACCCAAAGAGTCCCACACCTGGGCGCATCATAATTAAAATGCCAAGAATTAAAGACAGAGAATCTTAAAGGCAGCAAGAGAAAAGCAATCTGTTACCTACAAAGGAGCTCCCATAAGGCTGTCAGATGACTTCTCATCAGAAACTCTACAGGCCAGAAGGCAATGGCATGAAGTATTCAAGGTAATGAAAAGCAAGGATCTGACACCAAGACTACTCTATCCAGCAAGGCTATCATTCAGCATAGATGGTGAAATAAAGAGCTTCCCAGACCAAAAAAAAAAAAAAAGGCTAAAGGAGTTTATCACCACCAAACAAGCATTGCAAAGATGTTAAGGGGACTGCTATAATAATAAGAAGAAATAGAGAGAGAAACACAGGCATAAAGAATTAAAATGGCAATAAATAAGTTCCAATCACTAATAACCTTAAATATAAATGGATTAAAGGCTCCAATCAAAAGACATAAAGTAGCTGAATGGATAAGAAAACATGACTCAAATATATGATTTCTACAAGAGACCCACCTCAGAACCAAAGACTCACACAGACTAAAAAAAATCTTCTGGAGGACTTTAAGGGGCAATAGACAGCAATAGAGTCATAGTAGTGAACTTTAACACCTCACTAACTTTACTGGGTAGATCTTTCAGACAAAAATCAACAAGGAAACAGTGACTCTAAATCACACACTAGGTCAGACGGATTTAATGTTTTGACATTTACAAAACATTTCACCCCAAAGCTGCAGAATATACAATCTCCTCAAGTGCACATGAGACATTCTCAAAGACAGACCACATGTTAGGAGACAAAACAAGTCTCTACAATAAGACTGAAATCATATCAAGCATCTTCTCAGACATTTATAGCATGGAATACTATGCAGCTGTAAAAAATGATCCCTTACCCTTTGAGACAGTGTGGTGGGACATGGAGAGTATTATACTAAGTGAAATAAACCAGTCAGAGAAAGACACTTATCACATGATCACACTCATATGTGGAATCTAATGAACAAAATAAACCAATGAACAAAATAGATTCAGAGACATAGAAGCATGGAACAGACTGATGAATCTCAGACGGAAGGCAGGGGTGGGTGGGTCGGTGGGCAGGGAGAGATTAATCTAAGAATTTATATGCACATATGCATAACCCATGGACACAGACAATAGTGTGGTGAAGGCCTGGGTGGGTGCAGCGTAGAGGGGATCAATGAGGGGGAAGGGGGACATTTGTAATACTTTCAACAATAAAGATAAATTAAAACATTAAATAAAAGAGCTGTCCTTGAGGTCAGGAGCTACTCTGTCTTGCTCACCACTTTGATCGAACATAGTTCTGAATTCATACTTAACACGTGTTATGTGTGAATGTTTGAATGAACCAACAGTTACTGTGATTGAGAGTCGAATTTGCCTTTGAGCTTCCTGGTAGCTAGAGTAAAAAGGGAAACAGTCACTCCACAGATACTTCTGTACCAGTATTAGAGTTGTGATTGTGGATTTGTTTGAGTAAGCAAAAAGAGAAATGTAGCCTTAATCCCCATGGCTCCGCCTGTGCCAAGGTGGGAAAACTGAACCTTTCACCCCAATCCTCAGCTGCGTTTCTTGAATCTCTTCAGTATGAGGATGTTAATGAGATCATGAAAAAGAAGGATTCTTTGATGCATCTAAAGTATAATCATTCCCACCTTTCCTATCCAATGAATAATTAATCGACAACCCTTTTTGAACCTGGGAGAATGGGGGAAAATTCATCAAGAGGTTATTGACAGGGAAGGCAGTCTGGGCAGCTGGCCAGGTGAACACACAGAGGGGGGAGCCCAGGTAAGTCGGAGGGTCCCTGTGAACACATGGAGGTGGGTGAGCCAGGGGCCTGAGTCCTGGACTGAGAGGTTATTGGTCTGTAGGCAACAGAGAGCCTTTGAGAGTCGGGCTGGGGGGTAAGATGATGCGTGTGGCCTGAGATGAGGACACCTGGTCGCAGCGTGGCTGGCGCTTAAAGGGGAGGTAGCAGAGATGAAGGTTGTCACTCTAATATAAGTAAGAAACCCGGGGCCGCACCAGGGCAGGGAAGCAGCCAGGGACTCACAGGGGAGGAATGGACGAGTCACCTCAGAAACCAGGTCAGCAAAGCTCGGTGCCTGTTGGTGGGGAGGGCAGGAGGAGGGCACCCAGGAGCTCGGGGACATGGCAGGACGGCAGCGGAGCAGGGAGAGAAGAGGAACAGGGTCCAGCGAAAGCTTGGTGACTTCTCCAAGTGTTTGCACATTCGTTACCTCATCGATTTCACACGCAGCAGAGAGGTCCACCCTGAACGTCAGCCTGAGAGTGCTGCATCCCTGGCCGGAGCTGCCAAGTGTCAGGGACCAAAGCTTGGCCTCGGCCCCATCCTGCGAGGCAGGGCACCCAGCCGGCAGCCAGGAGTCCTCGCCTCGCCATGGCTGGGCCCCCGCCCTGGTTCCGTGCCAGCAGCTGAGAGCCAGGTAGTCGAGCACGCCACCCGCCCTGCTGGCCCCAACACGTGGGTGTGCCCGGGTCCTGCCAGAACCGCCCGAACATCTGGGCAGGGTGGAGGGAGGAGGCTGTCCCCACGGGGGTGCTGGCTCTGGTTCCCGCTGACTCACTCGCAGGCACGGGCAATGGCCTCACCCCGCTGGCTGGGTCGTCCCCCCAGAGACAGGCAGACTGTCTTCCCAGATCCTGGCCCGGGGCTGGGCCTCCCTAGATGGTCCCGCGTGGCTCTCGGAGCAGGGACGCGCCCTGGTGGTGGATGGTCAGCCCCGAGGGGCCTGCGGGCTCAGCCAGCCCAACTCCCTGCGTCACAGGTGAGGGGCTCAGGCTGTGGCCCGTGTCCCACACTGTCAGCCCTGGTTCTGAGGCACGCATGGCGGGTCCCCTGACAGGCTCCATCCCCAGGAAAGTCCAAATTTCTCCCACAACTGGCCGCACAGCTGTTCTAGCCCCCACCCCACGCCTGCCCCCGCTCAACCCCAAGCACTAACCCTGCCCACCAGTGACGGGGACCTCACCCACGCCCCTCCCCTGCCCTCCTCACTGCCCTGCTCCTGTGCTCGTGGGCAGGTCACGGTGCCTCCTCTGGGTGCCTTCACGGGCTGTTGAGCGTTTGTGAGGTGGCGTCACCCGCTCCAGCTTGTTCCAGGCGCTCGCCTGTGACTGGGCAGCTCTGTCCCCCAGCGGCAGTCAGGCCTGCTGACAGGTGGGGGGCCAGGGTTCAGCCGCGGGATGCAAACGCGCGGTGCGTGGGCCCCGCCACAGCCCCAGTCCCCCACACCTACCAGGCGTCGGTGCTCGCGGGCCCCCCGACTTTCTTCACCCACAGCAAACAAAACACAGTCTCAGCTCTCCGCGCTGGGACCCAAAAGGTAACGCTGCTCCGAACTGGTGTTTTTCCCGCAAAAAGCCCCTGAAGCCCTCAGCGTTCCTATGGTCACCTTTCTGCCTGTAAGTCTCCAGCTTGTCGGTTTGAGCGCCCAGGAGACAAGGGAGCTGCACCTGGTGGGAGCTTCAGGGCAGGCTGGCGCCAGCCGCGGGGCCCCGGGAGCGGCCAACCACGCGGGCACCAGGCCCGCCGCATTTCAGGGTCCCCTCAGCAGGAGGAGGCGTATTTGAGGGTCCCCTCAGCAGGAGGAGGCGTATTTGAGGGTCCCCTCAGCAGGAGGAGGCGTATTTGAGGGTCCCCTCAGCAGGAGGAGGCGTATTTGAGGGTCCCCTCAGCAGGAGGAGGCGTATTTGAGGGCCCCCTCAGCAGGAGGAGGCGTATTTGAGGGTCCCCTGCGTGGCGCTCCCCAGCTGCCTCCGGTCCCGCGAGTGAGAGCCGGCAGCACAGGTTTCGAGGAGCAGGAGGCTGTGCATCTAGTTGGGAAACGGGCGACATTTGGAGCAAGCGTCTCCCCGGAAGCCCGCGAGGGGGGCCGAGAGCCCGGCTGGCCCAGGCCGGGCCCCAGGGCACAGCCCCCGGAGC